AAAAAAAAAATAAGGATCTTATTGACAATACCCCTTCCCATCATTTCTTCCCATGAATATAAAGGTTTATTCTTATCATTTATCTCCCACTCATGTCTGTGCCTACAGTATAAACTCCTTCAAGACTGAAATTTTGTCTTACTCAACTTGTTTGTCTTCTCACAGGAGTATCTCTATTATGTGCTCAAATTTATATATTGGATTAAATTGACTTGAATTTTCATAAAATTCTCTGGATGAATACATGGCAGACTATTTAATTTTTTTCTTCATCCGCAGTAAATTCTCATTCTTCCTTCCTATCACTCAGCTCTTTGTTGTACTTTTCCCTAGAGCCCACAGACTCCTCTCCCCTTGACCTCAAATGCAACTCCCTGCCAGGGCTGTCATTGTCACCTCTTATTGATTAAGTGCTCATATCTCGAATGCCTCCTTCCCCTCCTCCCACCTTCCTCACAACTATAATTATTGTACTCCCACTTGCAGACTCAGTCACTTCATAACCTGCTTTCACCTTTTTTCTTAGAAGGAGGTGGGTTATAAACACAAGAAATGTAAAAATAAAATGAACATTCTATTTTTAATTAGAGGGAGATATGCTTTTATAATAAGTTAATGTCTAGGCCCAAAGTATTTTTTTATAATGCCTCAAGTTTTTCAATGTTTAAGTAAAAAGCTTTGTGTTCGAGTAGTGTTGTTGCCTGTGTCAGGCCCAGTTATATAACTTTGTTGAATTTCTGTAATCGGTGAAAAGCCCTAGTGGAATTTAAGTTGCAATTTGAGGCTAAAAAAGGTTTTGAGGTTAGTGTAATGACTCTGTTACTTGTGAAACTGGACATTAACCCAATGAGGGTACTCCTAATTGCAAGCAGGGCACCTGAATTCTACTTCTCACTGTCTTTGCAGGAAATATTTGGATTCCCTGTCTCCCCTTTGCCCAGAACAACCCTCTGCCTTTTCAGGCTCTCTCTGGAGCTTTCTACAGGGCTCTCTTGTTCCCAGATGCTGCCAGCCATGGTGAGGGCCTAGGCACTGAAGCCCAGGGACTCCAGGTTGGAATTCCGACATGTTCTGGACCTGCTGTTGATGCCTTTGAGACTCACTTTCCACTTTTCAAAGTTGGCAAAAGCCATCCTCATCGGCTGCAGCTGACTGAGGTTGACATAGTTTCTTGTTGGGAAAACACAGGATTCCAGGACTGTGTTCTCAGTGGCATTTAGTGAAGGATTGTGCCTATCACCCACCCAGTTCCCAGTCTCCCCAACTGCACCTTGGTGATGCATTGGCCCAGTTCTTCTGTAAGTTCAACAGGACACATTGCCACCATCCACCTACATGCTCCACCCCCAAATACAGCAGACAAACTATTTGAGAAGTTTTGACACCTGCCAATCAGGAGCTACTCACCTCATGCTGCTCACATGGATGGATGAAACATTTGCTGGAGTAATTTGGTGCTTGAGCCATCTGAGAGGCTGAGAGACTGAGAGCTGGAGAGACCTTGGGATCATTTAACATAACCCTCTCCTTTTTTTATGTGAGGCCCAGAGAGGACACCTGCTTGCCTTAGGTCACAGAGTTAATTATGGCAGGATACGAACTGCTCTCTGGGTTTCTGTCTCCCTAGTACAGTGCTATTCTACAACATAATGCTGCAGTTTCTCCTGATTTAGCAGTTCTCCCTTTGGGTAATAGAAGCCTAAAAGCAAATGTCTAAATGTGGTACATTATCTAAAATTAAATTTGCACAATCACAGCCCATTCAATTCCAGAAGCTCTGAACTTTAATTCACTCGAGTTATACCTTTATAGACAGAATTTTGACCAAAATGAATTCCAAGTACTAAAGACAAGCTAGACATGTAGACGTGACTTAGGATTTCCTTTCCTCAAAAGAAAGCAGTGGGTCAGGCACTACTTTGACTCCTGGTGAGTCCAATCAGGCTGTGTATCTGTTCATTCAGTAAAGAGCTCATATTTTCAGTACTACCATTGGCCTGACAAACATAGGCCCAGTATTAGGACGGTGTCATTCCTCAATGTTAGAATTTAGAATCTATTTTAGACATTTTTAATATTGTCAAATAAGGTATTGCGTTTTCTAAATCTTATACTGGCCTTTTGGGAAGTAAGGACTATTAGGTTCCAGTATTTGAAAATACTTTGATGCTTTTCAACAGCTTTTACAAAGAAATGAGTAGAAAATGCTAAGTTTTTATCCTCATATATTTTCTTACATACATTAACGTATTTTTAGTTTTGAAATATTTCTTTTCATCACTTCACATCGGGATCTTTTGGAGAGTTCTCCAAAGCACTATAATTTTGAACAGAGTGGGTTTTTTGTTTTGTTTTGTTTTGTTTTTTGGTATAGGGATTGAACCCAGGGCACTTAACCACTGAGCCACACTTTTGGCATTTTTTTTTCTGTATTTTATTTAGAGACAGGCTCTTACTGAGTTGCTTAGTGCCTTACTAAATTGCTGAGGTTGGCTTTGAACTTGCAATCCTCCTGCCTCAGCCTCCCAAGCTGCTGGGATTACAGGCATGTGCCACCACGCCCGGCAAACCTAGTATTTTAATTTGGGAATGAATAATTTAAATTAATTTAATAAGTCAATAATTTACTTGTGATATCTTTAATTGAAATGAAATAGGCAAAAGTATGTATTTCCAATAATTACATTACAAAGTGAATTGAATATGACACACCCAACTCTCTAGAATTTTCATTGAAACTGGTAGATTAGATTTCAAAAAATATGTGAATTACATTTTGAAAAAATTAAAATCAATACTTATTACATTTTAAGCTTAAAAGGAATGAAGGAGGAGAGAACTCAATAAATATGCAAGTTTTTAAAAAAATACTAGTTGCAATATTGGATCCAGAGGACTGTGTTCACACACTTAGCCTTAAAGGAATTCCCCACGAAGAGCACAAATCTTTGTATGTATCTGTGAGTACCTTGAGCAAGCAGTGAGAAGGTAGCCAATTTGAACTTGAGTTAAGTTTCCTTTGGAATCAGAATTATTGAGAAACTATTATAAAAAGGCATCCTATGCAATTTTACAAAACTTTGTCACTGGAATCCTTGTGCTGGTATAACTGAGAGTGCTTCCCTTAGAGAACATGGTCATAGACACTGATGGTTGCATAGAATACAGAGAGTGAATCTTGCAGGTATTCAAAATATGGCAAGCCAAGCTCCCGTTTTCTGGTCTTCTGACATGTTGCAGTGTTCTTGTGCCTCAGCCATCATGCTTTCCAAGGAGTCACAAAGAAGGCAGGAATCATGGTTGACACAATGTGCAGAGACTTATTTTGTAGCATTTCTGGTTATCTGCTGCATATATAATTCAACTATTTTATTTCTCTCTTTGAAGCCATTTGAACTACCTGGAGGTGATATTCTTTTGACCTAATTGGCATCTACAAGTCATTCACCCTACATATAAAGGGTGAGAAAGGCTGAGAAATTTAAAAGCGTGAGTGAAAACAGATTTGGAGTGAAGTGCCTACTTGGAGAGGTAAAGGAAACTATAATTTGTGTTCTTAGTGTGAGGATAGGGAACCCTAAAGAGTGGGGGGAAATTCAGAAGTTGCAGAAAATAAAAGATAATGGATCCCTAAATCTGGTACAGAGATAAAAAATTTGCTATGCTAGTTCTCTCAAGAATTGATGGAGACAGCTGTGGGATGCATCTCCAACTTCGATGATAGGGCCCATTTATAAAGATGGAAGAAGAGTAGCATTGGTTCCATGTGGTTTTGAGAAATTGCCATCTCCTGTTTTAGTACTCTTGCTAGAAGGTGTCCATTGGTGGTTCACATCCGTGTTTCTCAAAGGGTGCTCCATATTTGCCTGCATCTGAATCACCTGGGCAGTTGTTCAAAATGAAGATGCCTGGGTCCCACTCCAGACATCCTGCATCAGAATCTCAGGATGGCCCACCCAATCTACAGTATAATCGAATGTCCCAAACATACCCATAGAGTCTGCTGGAGTGATTCACTAGAGGTGCCATATTTTTTCCTCTTCACACTACCTACTAAGACTGGTGGACCACTTCTATTTTATAAAGCACATTTACATATATCATCTCATTTTTATCCTCAAAATAATTCTATGAAGTATCATTATCCCAATTTTACAAACAACTAAATTAGGGTTCAAAACTTTTAAGTGACTTGACCATTAGCCCACATCCAACTAGTGGCTCAGGGATCTGAAACTGGGTCTGTGAATTTCGAACTTGATGTTATTTCCATGAAAGTGTGCTTGCTGCTTATCTGCTTATCTTTAAAGTTGGTAAAGTGTCCACTAAATGAACATGTGTCTCTATCCAGACCTTGGGGTTGGAGTTTACCATAATTGCAGGGCAAGTATGCAGGAGAAAATAAACAGCCTCAGGAGCACAGGTCTCGAAAGTTCAAACCTATAAACCTTAAAGTGATGGGAAATATTACCCCAAGGAGGCTTACAATGGTCCTTTGTTCCATCGAAGCAAATTACATCATGAATTGATGCAAATTCAGACCAGCCATCTCTCAACCTTTCAGGGGCCCCTACTCAATATGAACCATCCTTTACTTCTATTTATCCTGTTTCTCTTTTGCTTCTTTCTGTCTTCTTTTGTGGCTTATTTATACTCTTATCCCTTTAGGTGCTGGAAGAGGAATGGCAACAGCGGTGAAACTGAATGAATACTGGTGCCTGTGAGCAGATTTTTGAGAAAGCAGTTGCAACTGTCGCTTTGAAGCAGGTTTGGGGGGTTATTTGTGTGTTTCAATTATCCCTCTTGTCGACATCGTCTATTGTTCTGGCATCAGGGATATAAGTATCACATTATAGTATTGACATCACCTCTGAGCAAGTGGATTACTACTTGCGTGTTGCAATTGGCTGGGGTAATTCATGACTTTTTAAACAAACACAGTCTAAATTATCTCCAACCAACTCTCAGTGACTCGTGTGACTTTTATGGGGACTTGGTACAATCTCTGTGTCCCCCTGTTTTTTAACTTTTAGGTCATTTATTTCTTTTGGGGGGGGGTAACCAGGGATTGAACTCAAGGGCACTCAACCACTGAGTCACATCCCCAGGCCTTTTGTGTATTTTATTTGGAGACAAGGTCTCACTGAGTTGCTTAGGGCATTGCCTTTGCAGAGGGTAGCTTTGAACTCGATATTCTCCTGCCTCAGCCTCCTAACCCATAGTCCCATAATCCCATTATGGGCATGCACCAATGCACCTGGCCATTTATTTACGTTTTAGTCATCTTCACTAGACAATATTTATATAAAATTAATCTTAAACTAATCTTTCTCACTCTGGTCATGGCTCTCGTAGTAAGTAAGGAGGAGAGAAGGACATCAAAAAGTATAGTTTTTTATATTTTAAATTTAAATATTTTAAATTTTAAATTTCCAACACAGAAAAATTGGAGTTACCTTTAGTTATTTTATAAGCATATGGTATTTAAGTCCTGTTATTTTCAAACTTCTGTCCTTGAGCTACTAAGTAAGTTGGACAAAAGTCCTCCATTCTTTGACAAGATGTGCAATACAAATTTTACTGATTGACCAACAGATTTAGAAATACAGCTCTAAATTGTCCAATAAAGTATCCAAGCAATTTAGCAAGGTGTGAAAGTGGAGAATTAGCACCATCAATGAATGAATGTGAGTTTCCTCTTCTCACCCTTTTCTGATCATCCTCTGGGGAGGTGCTAATGAATAGCAAAGTGGGCGACAGGTAGGCTGAGCAGGGGACAGGGAGGGCAGTGAATACCCTGATACAATGAGAGGTGGGCTTTTCCTCCCCCTTCCTCCACGCTGCTGAGAAACTTCTCCATCTGGACGGGGTTGAGAGGTTGACCAAGTCACCAAGTTCTCTGCCTGTCACATGCTATGCCAATTGGTGAAGGTCACTTTCACCTCAACAGTGGACACATCTTCATTGCTACCGGACAGGACAATAACTTACTGCCATTCCTTATGTGTCATTACAAGCCAAAAGCAAATGGTCAGCCCCTTCCAAGGGAAACTTCTAGACCTGAACATCCTCAGAATATGTGGGACCGAATGCAGCCTCACATTCAACCAGAATCCTATATCATGTTGTACAAACAGACAGATGAGCATGGGTTTAGCTGTTGGGCAGACGAATCCATTTTCTAGCAATGGATTCCTGGATGAAAACTTCACTGTTCCCCTTTTGAATGCATTCTCCTTTTTCTATGAATTATTCTAGTGACAGACATAGGAATCATGCTGGCTCCAAAGAATCCAGAGCAAAGCAGAATCCAATAACCTGGAAAAGTATTCATGACTTCTCCCAAAGTGAGAAGATAAATGGCAGAAACCAGCTCTGCCTAATTTCCAAAGATGCATATTGAATAAGAGAATAAAAGGTCTATTGGAATGGAGAACTTATACATGGGAGACAGTTTTATTCTAGTGTAGATGAAAACAAAATGCACAAGGTCAGCACCACCAAAAAAAAAAAAAAAAAAGGAGGAGGAGGAGAAGATGGGGGAAGGGAGGGGGAAAGGAAGAACAGAGGGAAAGGGGGGGACAGAGAAAAATAAAATACTAATATTTTAGAGTTGTGCCAAAAATAGCAATATTTTAGATTTGTTCCAAGCCTTTAGCCCAATCAAGTGGCATTGTGAGCCACTTTGAAGTTTGGCATACTTAAAATTTCTTAATGGTGTCACATTCTAAAGCTATTCAAGACTATTCTACTTTTTAAAATAAGAAACTTCTTACTTTCCAAAAGAAAAAATTAGAAAAATAAAACTCAATATCACTACAGGATTTCCAATTAGTTTCAGACTATCTGAGGTTCCTACTTGTGTGGGAAAAAATGTTTTTTCTGTAATATGATCAACTTTTTTTTTTAAACTTCAAGGATGAATCTTTAGGAGTATGTGCGTGTGTGTGTGTGAAAATATTCTTCCTTCCATCCATAGTGTGTATCTTTTGACTCATTTTATTAATCCATAAAATGGAGTAATAATTGCTGACATGTTTGAGACATCCTTGGCCAGCAGTATAAACATTATAATATTGTAGGTTTCATGTCCCAGGAGTAAGAAGAGAGTGAATAATAATCAAAGCATTCAGCCCAGTATAAGAAAAATAATACTGTGTGGACTTCACACTGCATGATTTTATTAAATCTAGACTTCATGTCTCCATGGCAAGTGGATCCCCAAAGCCCAGGCAGCAAAAATGTTAGTGCTTCCTCTGAAAATAAAGTTAACAATATCTAAAAAACAGATCATTTAATCCATTGTCATTGTTTCATGGAATTTAGTTGTGGCGTGTTGTGGGGGAAGTCTGTTTTCTTTAAGATGTGCAATCCATCTTCCTCAGGCCCAGAAATTACATCTTAAATAATTAAAGGAACAATGCACCTGCACTGAGACCTCCAGCTAAACTGTCTTAATAGTGAGAATCTGGACAGTCTGTGGATGGGAGTGATGGCAGCCAGGAATAGAATTAACCTTCTTTTTCCATACAAATCTGCTGAGTTTGGAATCATTTTCTTTATGGCTTTTTCTAATGTTCCCAAGGGGGAAAAAATCCACAACACTCACCTATCCCCCAATATTCATCCTGACACCATCTGAGATAAGATAAGGTGCTCATGTGGCTGTCTGACCTCTGTCAACGTGAGCAGTTAAAATTCTGTTCTTGTACCAGGAATTTTAATTCACTCTGCACCTCACAGATGCAAAGGTGTCAGATATTAAATGCCTGAGGATTAGTGGATGCCCTGCTTTGCAGGCCTCCTTTGAAGACTCCGGGGGATAGAAAGGCATTTAGCTGTTTCCTCTGCTACTCCTCTGGAGACATCTGGTTTAGTCAGGTGGTGCACATTCCACACCTCCCATTTATTATACGTTCTTTTTCCTCCACGTCTTCCCCCTTCCCCATACTCATCTTTCTGGGCCCTCCTCAAGCATCTGTACCCAGAACCAAGCAATTACGTTTGTTTCTGGGATTTCCATTACAATAAAGAGAAGAAGAGGCAGTGTTAAAGTCCTCGCATGCGCATACCATGGCCTGTGGAGGCACACCGGGTTGAGAGGTTGACCAAGTCACCAAGTTCTCT